GGATGATAGGGAAATAATGACATCTCTATATATGTGTGGATAAATATGGTGAATCTAGTTTTTTATATCCATGTGAGGCTGAGAGAAATGACTAGAATGTCAAAAAAAGTGATCTGGATTGAAATACTGATTTTGTAGATGTTGAAGTCCGAGTAGTAATAAGAAACACTATACTCATTATGAACACTATATTTGAAATAATCTGTAGCTTCATTTAAAAAAAAAATGATTTAGAGCATCAATGCAATGGGCATCTCTTTTGAAATTGTTTTATTATGAATTCCATTAACTAATAAACTTGGATCATTAGAAATTTGGAAATAAAGAAAATTATTTATGCCTTGGTAGCTCTTTGAGTCATGATGCTAGTGCTGTTATATGTTGATCTTAGCCAAAGCTATATGATTTTGTCAGTTACTCTTTAGAAAACACTTTATTCTAATTTGAAGACTAAAGACATGAAAGGTATTGTCTTTTATACTCCCTAGTGTCCATTTGTATATCTGAAGGAAAGTATATTTTTTAAATAAAATTTTTGTCTGTGGATCTAAATAACAGAAAGAAACTTCAGTGTCTAAACTGTTGAATAATTCAACAGTATATGATACATAATATTAATTATTTCTGATGGAATTATTTCTGGCTTAAATCCCAACTACGGAGTAGTCCTTTATTATTGACTGTTTCAGCTCACCATAGGATTTCTATATTAATACAGCTATTCTATGGAAACAGTAGGTGATCTCCATAGTTAGACTTTGGAGCCTAATCCCCCCTGTCATTTGGCTTTATCCATGAAGCAAAGGAGATTTGAGTTTTGTCTAGAGTTTGATAAGAGCCACTAATACACAGCTTTAAATAGGAGGCAAAGCTGAACTTCAGAATAGCCATCAACAGGTTATGACTTTGCAAGTCTCCACAGCATGATATGAAATACAATCTTCAATATTATTTTACCTCTTCAGTGACAGAATTTGGAATGAATCTCACTTTCCTGATAGCAAAGGCATCTTCACTCTATATTACACTAACACTATACATTATTAACCTCAAAATAACATTTGCTCTGCTTTATTGCTTAAACAACATGAAAAAATTAAAGTGATAGTTTAATTTATTGAGGGTAATGTCACACATTAATATCCATTACCTGGTTCACATTAATTGCTTTTGTTATTTCTTTCTAACACCATGATTTATCACAAAATTCATGCTAAATGCTTTGGCATATACTTTTAAGCCAATAAAGGACACAAGGTGAGAACATTTGTATCAATGCTTCAAAATACACAAATTAAAAATTTCATTATCTAATGTGTAGTTAATGTTGAAGTGTCCTGGACTGCACCCCAAATGTCTTTGGGTTGTTGTAGTTTATTGAATCAGTATCCAGTGCCTAAACATTGTGTTTGGCAATCATGTGCCCTCAAATTCATTAAGTCTTGAAGAGCTCCTTTAATGCCACATAGTAAAGACAAATAGTTATGTATCAGTTAGAGAAGGATATACAAGGAATGGAGAGTGTTTGGTAACTGAAACAGCAAGGGGAGGTACAAAATCATTCTTTAATGCCATCTTCTGCTGAAGAGATTGACATAAGTGATTCTCTAGACAATACCACATTCTGGTTTTGCCTTCCCTGCCTGCCATGGATGTCCTTGCTTATTCACATTACAAAAGAAATTCAAAAGCAACTTGCATAAAGTAAAACTTCTGCTTTCATAACCAAAATGAAATAAAAAAAGAACAATATAAGCAGTATATTATATATGTGATTTGTATCACCGAAGAGAGTATATGGGGGAATATTTAGCATGTAATAGGTAGTTGTTTATTTTTTTCTCATACTGCTTTTTTAATTTTTTAATTTTATATATTTTTTACATCATTTTTCATTTTTGCACAATGTATGCATTTTCATCTTTGTTATAGCCCCCATTCAATTCTAAGCTATGGAAACAACCCAAATGCCCAAAAATAGATGACTGGATCAAGAAGATGTGGTACATATACACAATGGAATATTACTCAGCAATCAAAAGATAAACTCATGCAATTTGCAGCAACCTGGATGGAGATGGAAGGGATCATGCTCAGTGAAATAAGCCAGAAAGAAAAAAAGAAAAATACTGGATGGTCTCACTCATAGCAGGAATTTAGAAAACCTAAATAAGGGACCAAGAAAAAGACTAATTATAATAAATTGAAAATCAAAATCAACAAGCAACTATAAACCAGAGATACACCACAGGGGGTGTATCTTTTGAAATTGTTTTCTTATAAATTCCATTAACTAATAAACCACAGTGGGGGGAGAAGGGAGTAGGATCAAAACAAGGGCGTTGGGAATAATTGGGTAGTTTTGCAAAAATTGCAGAAAGCAAATAAACTGATATAATCAGGAAAGCCAATAAACTGCACACAGGAAAAAAACAAGATGAAAAAAATAGCAAGGTAATTTACCATCATTTGGTAAATCTTAAAATTGATAAAGGGAAAATCTTAAAATTGATAAAAAAAGATATATATAAACACAAAGATAAGACTGATGCCCAGCTTCTTGGAAGAAATAATATAAATAAATGAAAGATATTTTAGAATAATTTTTTTTAAAGATTTATTTATTTATACAAGCACTGGGCACAGTCAGAAGCGCGGGAGGGTGAGAGAATTCACCAGAAACAGAGCAGGGAGCAGAGCAGGCAGAAGAACCGAAGTACACTGCTGAGGGGAGCAGCGGGAGGCAAGAGAGGTTTGAGCGCCATGTGGGACCCTCCTCCGGTGGCCGGGGAGCAGCCGGGGATCAAACCGGTGCTGCAAAGGCTGCGGGCGGCTTCGCAACCCAGCGCTCAACCGCTGTGCCACCGGGGAGGCCCAATTTTAGAATAATTTTTAACATATTAAAAGAAAAAAGACTGTCAAATTACAATTGGGTAATTGACTAAAAATATTTTTCAGTACCAAAGGCAAAACAAGGACATTTTTATGCTGAAACTGGGGAAAAAATGTACTCCCAGAGACCACTACATGCAATGTTAAATAAAACCATTCCATCATTAGAAAAAGATAGGAGATGAAAATTAGTATTGACACAGAAAAGTAAATAACATTGGAAAAACCAAGTATGTGAATAAATGTAAAACTATTTTCTTTTAATTCTCTTGAAAAATAATGGGCTGTTTAAGGCAAAGGATGACAAAAAAGGTTGACAGACCTAATTTGTCCCACACCCTATTTCTTTTACAGCCTGTGAGCTAAGAATCGTTTTTACATTTTCAAGGAAAATAAGACATAAACAAAAGCAAAAACAAAACAAAATCATTTATGTGAAAGAGAGACCTCATGTGATGTGCAATGCAAGATATTTATCTGCCATATACAGAAAAAGATCCTGGTTTAAAACAAAAACACTAATGATGTATTTATACCATATGGAAAATTATAATGTATTAAAACAATAGAACAGTGTTAATGAGAGGGAAAATGGAATAGTAGGATCACAAGATTTTTCTTCTAAAAGTGATATTTTACTTCAATATGAACAGTTAGTTAAGTAGTTGATAACATAACCACTTGAAAAAGATGGATAATCAGTAACTAATAAAGGAAATAATAATGGGCTAAAAAATAATCAATTATTCCAGGAAAAGGATATAGTGATCAGAAGGGGTGAATAAAAATGAGTAAGAAGATGGAACTAAATCTAAAAATATTGATAAATCACATTAAATATAAATGGTCATGATACCCCAATTAAAAGGCAGATTTATCAGAGTGCATAAAAAAGCACAATATGATATTCTGTAGTACATATTAAGCCTCATTCAAAGATAAAGACACAAATAAGAAAGTCAAATGATAGGAAAATATAGAGTGCTAAGTTAATATGAAGAAAATTAGAATGCTGAATTATATATGACAAAATTAAAGATTATTATATCAATGAAATGGATCATGTTTTAATGATAATGTATAATAATCATAAATGTCTATATGCCTTAGGCCAAAGTTATAGATAAATGAAATAAAAATAAAATTTAATGGAGAAATGGCTATTCCTAATTCTAGTGGGAAATGTCATACCTTATAGAAAAAAAAAAACATAAGTAAGGATATATGAGTTGAATAGCATCATAAACAACTTAACCAAATGGATATTTTCAGAACTTTGCGCTGAGTATTAGCAACATATCTATCCTTCTCAAGTGCACATAGGACTCGTGCCAGAGTAGAACATATCATAGTCATAACGCATGTCTCAGGTAATTGAAAGTTTTCAAATCAATCAAAGTGTGCTCTGTAACAAACCTGGGATTAAATCAGAAAAACATAGAAGAAAGAAATCTGGAAAATTCCCCCCCAAAATAAACAACTCACCTGCAATAACACTTGTTTAAAGAACAAATTGAAATCAAGCAGGTTCACATTAATTGCTTTTGTTATTTCTTTTTTTTTTTTAAGATTTATTTATTTATTGATACAAGCACTGGGTACAGTCAGAAGCGCTGGAGGGTGAGAGAATTCAGCAGAAACAGAGTGGGGAACAGAACAGGCAGACTGACGAAATACACAGCTGAGGGGAGCAGCGGGCAGCAGGAGAGGTTTGTGTGCCATGTGGGACCCAACCCCGGCAGCCGGGAAGCAGCTGGGGATCGAACCAGCGCTGCAGAGGCTGCGGGCAGCTTCGCAACCCAGCACTCAACCGCTGTGCCACCGGGGAGGCCCTGCTTTTGTTATTTCTTTCTAATGCCCTTATTTATCACAAAATTCATGCTAAATGCTTTGGCATATACTTTTAAGCCAATAAAGGAAACAAGGTGAGAAAACTTGTAGACTGAATGAACTTGGAGACTGAATGAAACTGAAAACAAATGTTTTGACACAATTCTTTGGATGCAGTTAAATAGTATACAGAAGAAATTAATAGTGTTAAACACATGGTAAAAAAAACAAAGGTGACATAAGCTTCCTTCTTAAGACTAGGAAAAGAAGGGCAACTTTTCTCTCCTCAGCCCTTTGGCTAAGATCAAGTGGAATATCAGTTCTTATCAGTTTAATATCTGATAAGTGCTTTCTCTGAGGTTAATATATTAAAAGGATTTTTGGAAATAGAAGATGGAAGAGGAACTTTTTCCATTCACTATACGCATCACCCTATATTGCAGAACTTCGAGGAACTACATACCACCTTTGGGGGAAAATTGGAAAAAAAAAAACAAAAACAAACTTAACCCAAAGTAAACAAGAGAAAAGACAGAGTGAAAGAAAGAAGATGGAAAAATGAAAAGAGAGTAAAATCAATGAAACTGAGAGCTGGTCATTAATATGACTATTCCTATTTATTTTTATTATATTTATCTTTATGATCTGTGGAACACAGCCTTGAACTCTTATTTTTCCTAATTTTGCCTGGAAAATATGAATATCTGATGTAAGTGTAACAGCTTTATTGTTCAAAGTCAGGGCTCCAACAAGGAAAGATGATAATAGAAGCAGCTTTAAATGGGGTCACAAAATATCAATTTTAAATGCTCTCTGATAGGTGACACTGTTTCTACTTCTGTGAGTGGGAAGCATATTGATGATAATCTTCACTTTCCACGTATGCTTTTCAGATTTCATCGTATGCATAAAAGTCTCATAAGTCATCTTCCCCAGATGAAATTATTTTATTGCTCAGTTTCTTTGAAAAATAACAGCAGCCAACTTTTCCTTGTTAACATTTATTCCCAAGCATATTTTATCAGATTGGATCATGTTTTTGAATAAATAAGGCATTTTTATTCATTTATTCCATAAAGTACCCATTAATTTTTCCTATGGTAGGCTAAGGTCTTAGTTTAAAACTCCTAAGATTTCCTGGAAATATAATTGAGAATCTCTGGGGTCATGAAGACAATTAGTCAGCTAAGGTAACCTTTTGTTATCACAAAGTCAGTAATCTGACTCTTTTAAACAGTGGGCTTCTGGGCCTCCCTGGTGGCGCAGTGGTTGAGTGCTGGGTTGCGAAGTTGCCCGCAGCCTCTGCAGCGCCGGTTCGATCCCCGACTGCTCCCCGGCCACCAGAGGAGGGTCCCATATGGCACGCAGACCTCTCCTGTCTCCCGCTGCTCCCCTCAGCAGTTTACTTTGGTCCTTCTGCCTGTTCTGTTCCCCACTCTGGCTCTGGTGAATTCTCTCACCCTCCCGTGCCTCTGACTGTACGCAGTGCTTGTATAAATAAATAAATAAATCTTTAAAAAACAAAAACAAAAAAGCAGTGGGCTTCTGTCCTACCATATTTTCAGACTTTTTTAAATTGCAGCTTTATGAGGCATAATTGACAAATAAAACTGTAATATATCGCCTCACATTTTCTTTTGAGAACTTTTAAGTTCCAATCTTGGCAAATTCCAATTACACAGTAGTGTTATTATTAGATCCTCACTGTTACACATTAGATCCTTAGACCTGCTTCATTTGAGTAGTTGAGCTTTTGTCCCCATTCACCAGCCTCTCCTCCCCCAGCCCTATTGCAACTACTTTTCCACTCTGTGTTTCTAGGAGTTTGATTTTGTCTTTGTTTTTAGATTCCAATACAAGTGACCTAATATACAAGACCTTTTTAACCCTCAAAGAGTACTGTGATACACCCTGCCTTTTCTGACTGCATGAAAGCTTAATTATTGGCAAGTTAAATTTTTCAGTTTGTGAACAACTCTGAATGAAAGTGCAATTTTCACGTCATCACCTACATTAAGAAAATTCATCGTCAAGTGACTCTGGCACATGTGGTCTGATCAGAAAAATTTGTGAATTATAAGCAATATCCGCTCACCTGTCTTGGCTTCAATACATTTTCCTAAACATGGACAATGTGGTCTAGCTGGCTAATCCCAAAGGAGTCAAAGGATACTAAGAATAACCTAGAATATCAAGTACATGGTGAAAGTTACTATGTGAAGTAGGATGGCTCTATCTTGGGGCCCACAGCCTTCTCTTCCTGTTCTCCCCTTTGCTTCTTGACCTCCCTATTTCTTCATCTTCATTTATGCTTAGGATTCCTCCCTTTTGTTTGAAACTAGTATATTAAATTTTACTCTCAGAAAGGAAAACATAGAAGAGAGTGCATGGCTTGGAGAGAGACTGCTTGAAATCAAATCCTGACTATCACTGACTGCTGTGTATCCTGGGCAGGTTTATTAACTGCTTTGTTTAGTTTACTGTTCAGTTCAGTAAAAGGAAATCCATCCAATTTGTGAAAATTAAACAAATCAATCCATTTGAAGGCATACTCAGTAAATATTTGATGAGTGTTAACCATCACTACTATTTTATCCATCTTTTAAAAATTGTTATGATACTGATTTTTGTTAAATTTCTAAGGGACATATGGTTATTAACTCTATCTGGTCTCTACTAATGAAGTCATGTGATGCTTGGTTAAGCATTAGGTAGCCAGAAGGGAGGATATTTTAGGGACAGCTACCTTTCTGGTGCCTATATTATGATAATCACCTGTTTTCTGGCATCTGCTACTTGACATATACCTAGTGAAGCAATATAACTATATATATAATTTAATTTTCATTGGATACAGATGAATCACTAAAGTGATTTGCATATTTTCAAAGCAGGCACCGACACCATTAACTTTAAGCCAAGATTACTCAGGAATGTCTCAAATGCAAGTGTTTGGATTGGTTAGCATGAATACACATACACAAATATACATATTCCCCAACTATTCTCACCATGATTACTGTCCATAGATTTTGAATTGTCCCACCCCAACCCCCTGACTCCTTTATAATTGACTGCCTGCTGTTCTTGACTCAGGTGTGTTTAAAAACATTTGTTCATGATAAATACCTTATGTCCAGAATGCTTATATACCTGTTGAAGACAGGCCTTGCAGGACCTGACAGGTGACATGTCTGCATATGGGTGGTTCTGGCATGATCACTCATAATGATTCTCAAAGGGAGTATGAGTAATTCACATTCAGATGTCCTAGCTCAGGAATGTATATTAAGAAGCTCACCAATATTAAATTTTGGTTCAGGAAATTACTTCAGAGACCATATCTCAATTTTAAAGGCATTTCTAGTAAAAATAACTGATGTAACTGTTGGTTAACAGTCTCACCTTTCATATTTGAAGATATTACTCAGTGAGATTCATATCCCACTGAGTCCTCATTATGACCCTGAGTCATGTATTAAGATCCACATTACTATGGCTTGCACACTGTTACTCTGTGTGTTTGTAGGGTTTGTTATGCCACATTGTCTGAAATGACTCTCCCCTTAAATATCAACTCATAAAATACCCATTATAAAATTAAAGCTCTGTCCATTCAAGAAAATGTAGGCATGTAACTGAATAAGGGGTGTATTATGATGTAGAGAGCTTGCCTGTGGTGCCACAGTATCAAGGGGTAGCATATTTATTCTGGTAAGGTTGCTTTCATAGGTCACCTCTGTTTAAGGATCTAATTCAGCATTTTCCACTGCATATTCTGAGAACAAAATTAGTTTGCTGTTTAATGCTTGACTTCTCAGAATGTTTATTATTCCTAATATATATTTGTGAGTCTGGAGGAGGGAAAGGGACATAATTTTCAACATTGCCCACATTTATCTAATCATAGAATCTTTTTTTTTTAAATAAAGACATAAAACAACTGGTGTTTTCTTAGTAAATCTCCAAAACAGTGGATTTACTTGAGAAATAGGAGCTTCAGGGAAAAGTTCAGAGGTGAGGACAGTGGAAGGGAATCAGTGGTGGCCTATAGCTGCTCCTCCTGGCTCACTAGTGCTAAATGTTAGATTTCCAAGAGTTATATAAGCTGATTGTCAAGGACAGCAATTATTAAAACTTAAATTACATAAACAACCAAAATAATATATATACACATGTATTATTATGTATATATACATAAGTATGTATGTAGATAACTTTGTCACCTCTTTCTAATTATTTTATGTTATTACATATGGTCAAGGTTATTGTGTTATTTTATTACAGAATTGTGTGCTATTGTGCTGTTAGAAAATAGGTTTGGCTGATTTTAGGACAAGGAGGTTTGGCTGATTTTAGGTGGTCTCTAGATCAAGACAGGGAGGGGACCATTGTGCTCTTAGTCAAAGTGAATTATTACTGAAATATGTTCTGTAGAATGAAAGCACCTAATACAACATTAGGACTTGATCTAACTCATATGTTGATTAGAAGTTGAGATCCAATGTGGGTGCTATACCAGAGTTTTCATCTTAGTTTCAGTGGGAAAAACTCTCCATCTGATAGACAACATATATATATTTTTAGGGAACCATGCTTATTCTAAAATAATCCATATTTTAAATGACTAAAACATACGCTTATACACAGCATGCGCTGGGAATCGTACATTTACTTTCTTTTGTCATAATTATCTTAAATATTGACTACTTTTTTAGAATTCAACTTGTTAGATATCAATTTCTTTTCACAATGGCAATATAGCCATTGAACAACAGGCATCACAGGTCTAGTTTATATGCATGCTGATAATCTATGATATGGGCTTCCTGGAAGCACAGATTTAATCCGAGGCTGTCTTTAATCAAGTTTCCTCATCAATATCTAGAATTGTGTAAACACAGGCAATGCTAATTTATACTGGTGCTACTTGAAGCCTAAAAACTTAAATTATTCCAATAATTTTTCATTTCACTTGTATTCCTGTTTATATTGCTCATCCTCTGTCTTCCTTTCCTATTTCAAAGTTAAAGACCTCTACTATACTGATAATTCTGAATTGATTATGCAGCTTACTCAACTATATATCACTCATGCTGGATGCTTTCCCAATATCTGAATATTAACTATCACTTTGTAAAACAGAAATTATATATTTGCCCCTCTTCCCATCCTGCAAATATCAACTCCAATTTTAAATGGAACCATTTGGTATTCTCACTGCATGAATTTATACCTAATATATTTTGTCTAGGAAGTGTTAATGGCAACAACCTACTTCCTTGGGCACTTGGTAAGGGTTGATTAAGAAGTGTAAATGGTGTTGGCTTAATATGAATAAAATGAAGGGTGCTTTCTGCAGTGTTGTTTGTAATGAAATAAAAATTTCCTGTACTAAATAACATAATGGTACAAATAGAAAACTATGACACAAGTTTAAATACAATAGAAGAAAAAAATAATGAAAT